TATATATATATAATTTCCTGTATAAGGAAGGAGGCCAGTACCCTTGGGCAGATTAACTGCACCATTGCCTGATCACAAGGCCAAGCTTATCCTTCCATTAATGAGAGAGCATCATGCAGGGCAATATCACTGTTACTGTTATGACTCTGCTGGGTGGATACAGCACAGTGACACCCTGGAGCTGGTGGTGACAGGTCTTTGGAAACTAAGGGTCACAGTCTTCACATTTTCTGTGTGTGAGTCCCTGAAAGCTCTGCTGCTTGGGAGAATAGGACCCATATGAAATAACAAGGAAAAGTTTGATCACACTAACATAATACTTGCTGCTTTACACTTCTAAAATGTATGACACCATGTGGTTGATTGTAAGCAAATTTAAACACAGTACAAATTCGGAAAAAAAGATTCCTGCTGTAATAGAAAATCCAGTGAACACCTAGGATTTATTGCATCAAATCTCAACTCAAATGTGACCATGAAGATGGGTTCTATAGCTAAAGGGCCTTTAATCTAGTGTGGTCAATGACTGACATAGTGTACATGTCAGCAGGCTGTAAAGTGTATAGCACATCTTGCCTAAGATGGACTTTATTAACTGAGAGCTAGTGAAAAAGTCTAGGGAGACAGAGTCTGGGATAAACATTCTGGGGTATTCAGGTGATGTCTGGAGCTACAGATACATGGTCCCCTGGTTATTAACAACATCCATTCCCAGCTCTCTTGATAGAAAACAGGTATTTATCAGTTCAGGAGTCACACTGCATGGATAACTTTCCTGATATCTCCCATGTTACTTGTGAGATCAAGCACATCATGTCCTCAACATTTTTCCTCAGGAAATATATTGATTTGACCTACCGTCCAACTTCTGGTGCCAATGTATCATTTAACAGACTGTGTCCTCTTTTTACTAAGGGTCATTGAAGGTAAAACTACTCTGTCATCATGTTGATACCTCAGGTGGGAGGGTGAACCTCCAATGTGTCTCATCAAAAAGATATGATTGATTAATTGAAACTGGGGAAGAACAGAATTTCTCCAGGTCCCCCAATGCTCAGTACACACACACTGGATAGTCCCAGGCTCTGTTTCCAAAGATCCCTGTGACATCCAACAAGTGTGGGCTCTTTAGATATTATGGATACTTCAAGAGTAGACCACATATTTGGTTAGGGGCCAGTAACCCTCTGGAGATATTTGTCTCTTGTTTGCTCAACTGTTTTTGATAGGAGAATTCTTTATCACTAGATCTGCTGCCCTGAGGATGGTTCCAGTCATGATGGCTGAAGGTAGCCCTTGGCATCTATTGCTCAGATGGGAGAGCCCATGTCACTGACCTAGAAAGAATAGAAGAATCTTAATTAGGGTTTCTAGTGTTGAAATGAAATATCATCATCAAAAAGCAAGTTGTATAGGAAAAGCTTTATTTGGCTTACACTTACACAGCACTGTTAATATTTAAAGGAAGTCAGGGCTGGAACTCAAACAGGTCAGGACGCTGGAGGCAGGTGTCATTACAGAGGATTACATGGGGTGCTGCTCACTGGTTTGCTCTTCATGGCTTCCTTAGCCTGCTTTCATATAAAATCCAGGATGAACACCTCAAGGATGGTATCACCCACAGTGGGTTAGACTCTCCCTTCACCCCCTGGAGTCTGACCATAGAGGTCTAAACTAGAACTCTGTTGAGGATTGGTCCAGGGACTCAATATAAAGATGGATAGATGGAGTCTCTTCAGAGAGGGACAGACACATGTAAAAGCCGCTCTCCTTTCGATTTCTCAGTTTCCACAACTGTAAATTGAAAAGCACTGGCCTAGATGTTAAGTTCTTTTTAATTCTGACCTTATCTGTGTCTTCGTCATACAGAGAAAACACTTCCAAAATTGTTGTGCCGTATCTGACACTGTGATGGTGACACTGTGTATGGGTATGCAACAGAGCCAGGACAAGGCATTCAGGCTCCTTCCTTTCAGTTCATGCATTTTATCTTCAGAGTAGGGAACACAGCTGAAGTTTGGATTTCTTGCATTTAATCCTCCACAATGTGCCTTCCTGCTGGGTGACCAGTAGGTAAAATGTCTAAAAGTGATAGGAGTCAGTCTTACATTGCATGGTTATGTGAGTAAGAGGTGGTGAATACAAAAAAATGATATGGACCTCACACACAATTTCTCCTTCATGAATTTAGTTGCATGTTCCCATACCCTAGACTGAACAGAAAGGATAGGAAGGCCTCCTAAATTCTGAATTGGAAATGGGAGGTGATTTTCTTCACCAATTCTTAGATCTTGTCTTGATAAAAAAAAAAAAAAAACATCAAATTCAAGTGTCTTAGTCTGAAGTGTGAACTCAAACAAATTCATGTCTGTGAAGGATCCAGAAGGAATCATGGCACCCTAGGGAAGGGATTGATACTGGATCCTTCTGAAGTTTTGTGATTAGCCTAATATGCAATTATAAGAAATGAAAATTACTGGAAATATGAATGCTGACTTCAGAGAAGACTCTCAGCTGTCTTATGTACTTCATTAATTGTGTACATTCTCTTCTGTATTTAGGATCTGCTGAGAACATCACTATATCACAAAACATGTCCAAACCAAACACTGGTGAGTACAAATTCTCACTCATACAGCTTTTCTGAGGGTTTTGATATCTGATCTTCCTCAGTTGATTTTCTTCTTCCGTTCATTCTTTCTCCACAAC